ATTCCCAGAAGCCTTCACCACCACCTCGGTTGGCCAGGATTTCTGGGAGTGGAAGGCCAAGAACATCTGGAGGCCCAAGGTTGGGGATCAATGGTTTAGGGCCTTATGTGAGTATTAAAACTTTAAAGTCGATGCAGAAACGAATAGGCAGCCAATGCAGCATGGCCAGCGTGGGAGAAATGTGCTGGTAGTTTCTCACTCCACTAAGGATTCTGGCCGCTGCATTCTGCACCACTTGAAGTTTCTGCATCAGCCTCAAAGGCAGCCCCACGTACAGCACGTTACAATGGTCTAATCTTGAGAATACACGCGCGTGGACCAAGGGAATGAGTGCCCCCGTGTCGAGATAGGGCAGCAGCCAGGCGATCTGCCAAAGGTGGAAGAAGCTGGTATGGACTACCGATGCCACCTGTGTTTCTATGGTGAGCGGCGGGTCTAGGTGTGCCCCCAGGCTGCGGACCCCACTCTTTGCAGCCAGGGTCACACACCCCCCCCAAATGTGAGTCACCCAAGCCGCCGACCATGGGGCCACCCACCCTCAGAACTTCCGTCTTGTCCGGGTTCAGCCTTAGTCCGTTTTCCCGCATCCATTGCAGTACGGACAGGACGGCATCACCTGCAGTTGGTGAAAAGGAGATGTAGAGCTGGGTGTCATCAGCATATTGATGACATGATGCTCCACACCCCCTGATGACCCCACCCAGCGGTCTCATGTAGATGTTAAACAGCATTGGGGAGATAATCGCCCCCTGTGGGACCCCACAATTGAGACTCCACGGGGCCGAAACATTCTCCCCATGCTGCACTCTCTGGAGGCGGTCCTCCAAGAAGGAACAGAGCCAGGCAAGCACCAAGCCACCAATTCCCAACTCAGAGAGCCTCCCCAGGCGGATACCGTGGTCAACGGTATCGAAGGGCACCGAGATGTCGAGGAGGACCAACAGAGACATTTTGCCCCGTCAGCCTCCCTCAACAGGTCATCATACAGGGCGCCCAATGCTGTCTCTGTACCATGGCGCGGCCTGAAGCCCAACTGAAACGGATCCAGGGCATCTTTTCATCCAAATGGACCTGAAGCTGGTCGGCCACCACCCTCTCGACCACTTTGCTCATGAAAGAAACATTGGCGACGGGCCTATAATTGCCAATTTCGTCCACCGCCAAATTAGGTTTCTTTCTTATGGGCCTAATGAGTGTCTCCTTGAGGGCAGATGGAAACCTGCCCTCAAGGAAAGACCCATTCACGATGGAATATTAATCTCAGAAACATAATATAAATTAAGTTCCTTGTGTGGCATACTGCTGGCTTACTTTAGCTAAGGCCTGATGATGGCTTACTTTAGCTAGCTGCTGCCTGGTTTTAATTTTGCTTGATTGTGTCATTTTATTGTTTTATATGTATATTGCCCAGAACAGTGCCATGCACTAATGGGATGATATATAAAAGTCAGAAGTAAAATAATAAATAAATACATACCACTTTTCAAATAGGCTGTATATAATTTGGCATAAGATCCATTGACAAAGACCAGTCGCTTTGCAAGATATGTTATGTATTGATTTGTTATCCTTTGTACTGCAGTGCAAAGTCTTCGTTCAAATCTACAGTATTCAAAGGCTTCACTTAATGATTTGTGAGTGGCTGCTGTAGAATCCTCGCCAATGCCAACCAGAAAATAGCCATCAAATGTGCGAAAATCCATTGTTCCTACAACATGAACATAACTGATTTGTATTATCAACCATACCACACTTTTACTAAGGATCCAGTCAGAAGTTTTCAGAGTACTCAGCTGACACTCTAAATAATAATAATAATAATGATAATGATAATGATAATGATAATAAGAATAAGAATAAGAAGAAGAAGAAGAAGAAGAAGAAGAAGAAGAAGAAGGAGAAGAAGAAGCTGTGAATGCCCGTAGATTGCACAAACATTACAAAGTTAGACATGATAGAGTGCACTGGTCATTATGCAATAATTATAACTTGCCAGCCTCCAAAAACCCATGGGAACATCAGGTAAACAACGTGTCAGAAAATGAGGAAGTCAAGATCTTGTGGGATTTCTGGCTGCAAATGGATGGACACCTTGAACATAACACACCAGATATTGTAGTAATAGAATGAAGAAATGTCTGGATCATTGACCTTGTGATTCCAGGGCATCCCAAAGTTGAAAATAAAGAATCAGAAGAACTAACAAAGTACAGAGACCTGGCAATCGAAACATCTCGCCTCTGGAAGAAACACACTTCAGTGGTCATTGGGGCTTAGGGAACAATATCAAGAAATTTCACACAGCACTATAAGCAGTTGCAGATATCAGAAATCACACCACCATCAGAGCTACAAAAAAGGCAATATTAGGAACAGCATACATACTGCACTGATATTTAACAGACACTTAAGTTTTGGTTAAAATTTGTATCTGTTATACAATGTTTTTATAATATTGACTGTGCTTGGTGTTTTTGAATAATAATAATAATAATAATAATAATAT